AGTATCAAGAATGAAATGGGAAAAGAAATTAAATTTATTAAGTTGCATAATATCTGATCTTGAAGCTATTCATTCACTCGGATAATAAACATTACGCCCAAATCATATGTATGCTTCATTCAATATATATCGATATTGTTCTTGACAAATATTTTGATTCGACGAGTTTTTGAATTGATAATTTAAGAAATTTACTACCAGTTTATGCATTATCACCACATAGAGATATTGGGGTTTTAAATTTTCTGCATCGTAAGTACATACATATGTTAACCAAAATGCTTGATTTATATGACAAATCCCAAACCTTAAATGGATGTTTAATATGAGTGCTGCCAAATTAAACCATTTAATTTTGCGATACTATTAACGTTAAACATTGGGAGTTTATGTAAAAATTGGAATTAACAACCTCAATGAAATTAACTATGCAGGTCAACTATCTTAATATAAAATACATTAGACTAGTAACTTAGTATATAAAAAACTAATATTATGAAAAATGCAAATTAAATTTATTAGATGCTTAATATAATGATACGTAGTACAATATCAAATATCACACGGATTGATAACTTACTAGCTGATAATTATATTTCTCTGTCCAATAGAAAAAACGCTTGTAGCCTAAAATTTTGCTTATGAATGTGCCTTCTGCGTACTAACAAAAGTTTTCCTCATGAAATTTTACTATGACTATGTCCTTTAAACCAAATACTAACTTACTAGTGGGACCCTAACCCAAAACCAATTGCGAAACAATCTTCACATAACACTTAATATGTATTAGTTTTTATATTTATTAAATGTTTAATTTTTAAGTATTTTATAAATACGTACTTGCCAAGTATTTAGCAAATACTTGACAAGTACTTAATAAGTATTTGGTTATGTTTGCTGATGTTAAACATTATGTATTGTGCGTTTACACTGAAGATCGATGATTTGCGTTTATTTTTTCTTTAGTTATTATGATAACTTTCAAACATTACAATTTAATATGTTGAGAATTAACTTTGGTCATTCTTCAATCAGTGAAAATCGGACAATGATATGTAAATAAAAAAATAAATAATATGTAAAAGTACCATAAATAAGCACCCGTCCTACATGTACTCTTGTAATGTTCCACAAGAATTCAGTAATCGAACTGTGTGGATGACTGAAAATATCTTTCTAATTATTCGAAAGTGAATATTTATAACTTATTGTTTTCAATAGATCTAACAGACTAGGGATGTTAAATGGTTTGATCGACGCTAGTCTGAAACCAGATAGTTGCGTGATAGAACTAGCTCAATATAAATAATACGAATTCATAAAAATTTAATAATTCCACATAGCAAAGCTTGGAGCATATTTATTCATAGTTGAATTGTGATTTAGTCGTCGTCAGGAATGTTGGTCGACTACCTTCAAGCAATACTGTGCGGATTTCTCGCGTGTTGATCAACTTGTTGGTGTACATGGAATTTTAAAGGGACGATTGGCAGTTCTTTTGCGATTTTATACACTTCTAAAAATTTGTTTTCCAATTTTAACTTAGGGTTAAGCATAAAATTTAATTCGCTTATTTTTTTCACTAAGAACTCTTTTAATAGGTTTTGGGTTTAAAAACAAGTTCTGACTATTGCATATCGGACTTTAGATAACTATAAATCGGAATTTTCAAATAGGAACCAATTTTAAAAATAATTAGGTTTTTGGATAAAGGTCAAATTCCAAAAATCCGCTGAGCTGTTCTTTTTTTTATATAAATTTATTAAAAGTTTTAATTCCAGAGCATTTGAGCAAAAAGTACAACGCTGTTTATAAATACATATTTAAATATAAGTGTATTCAATACAAAATTTTCAGCCAAAATAATTCATCGGCTTGGTCGTTCTTAAATTCAACGAACTACACCACAAGATCATGCAGGGGGTGGATTTAAAATTCATACGTTAAAATATTGAACCAATTTTTGTGAATTTATTTTAATCAATTGATTCGTGATGAATTCACTCTTCTGGAATTTCCACGATATCCACCGGAACGCTGACAACTGCTATTTTTGACGATGTTTTCGTGACGTCTTGCATGTTAATGGATTTTGACGTGTACTTATTATAATTTTGATGTTTTTGCACGATACTTGGTAATTTTTTATCCACCTTATCAGCTTCTAAGAATTGCTTTTTAATTATTCTTTTGTTGCTTTCATGCGTAAATTCGTCAATCCAAGTAATAATTAACGCATTAATATATGTAGCAGTAGGTCGTTTTTTTGGATCAGAGTCCATACATTTCTTAGCTAATTCAACGTAACATTCTGGAGTCCCGGGTGCGAATTCCGGTCGCAATCCAAAACCAATCTTCATTGCTAAATCATCGTTAAATTCGTAATCATTGAAAACTTCTTCACCCGTTGAGATTTCCCACATAATTATGCCAAATGAATAGATATCTCTTGCTTGTGTAGAT